TGCATGTGTACCCAAGTGGCGAGTCAGTGAGTTAGAGGCTGCATGGGTGGACTGTGACAGAAGAAAACGTCCTTATCCATGGTTTGCCACTCACACTAACCATTATCTCTCTGTTCTCTTATCTTCCACAGGAACGAGTGGAGTATCTCTTTCTCATAATTTTTACAGTGGAAGCATTTTTAAAAGTAATAGCATACGGACTTCTCTTTCACCCCAACGCTTACCTCCGCAATGGCTGGAATTTACTAGATTTTATAATTGTGGTAGTAGGGTGAGTACCAACATTTCGTCTTTGAATGCACTGACACATGGGGATACTGTCAACCTGTGGGAGCATACGGGTGGGTGAATGCTTGGTACGCTATGTATGGGTTAGAAGTTACTGTACATTGTGTTCCTCCTTCTACCACCATTTTCATGGTTTGTAAGACATGGAAATTAAATTGCTTTTCGGGAACAGGGATGAAAAGAGGAAGCAGTGCAAGGCTGCCCAACTGGACGAAACTCCCTTTGTTTGTAAACCTGTTTGAATATTTAAAAATAACATCTAGGTTGGATCCTTCAAGATTAGAGTTGGATTGACAAAGGCATTCTGCCATGTGAACTTCTACTGATGTTTCTTACTCTCAAAGATGGATAAAAAATTTAAATCCCAGGTTTTCATTCTTACAAACAAAGTTCTTCAGTTCAAATGCGCTGTTCTGCTGGTGATTTCAACACTTTGATTTTGACCCTTTTAATGTTTTAACATTTTAAAAGTCTAATTTTACTACTGCAGATCAAACTGCCACTTTGAGCTGCAACCTTTCTAATCCCCTTATATTCCTCTACATGTTTTCAAGCTTGGCATTTAATTTATTCAAATAAAAGCAAAGTAAAACACCTTCTTCTTTTTCTACCTAAGGGTAGGAGATAAGCAAGGGATTTGAACTGTGGTTGTTGAAGGGAAGAGGTGAAGGATAAACTACCCCTGAAGACAAAGAGAACAAGTATATCTTTGCCTGAGTAATTTGTCCCATCCTCCCACTACTCCATTGTTAAAGAATTTCATCGCCCACAAAAACTTGAATTCTTTTCACCTCTTTACCAAGGAAACCCTGCATCAGCTCCTAGGGAAAACGTCAAAAGGGACACTTTCAGTCATCAAAAATCCCTCACAATTTCTGCCCCAAGCCAAAGTCCATGTAGCTTCTTAACCATTTTTGTGGTGGCCCCCCAAAATTACGTCAGCAAACTGCTGTGTGCTACCCAATCCCTCCCACTTTCTATCATCATGAGGAGAAGTGGGTGGAAAGAGAATTCCCAGTGAAGGGGAGGGAGGACAAGCTGGAACCTATTCTTAGTCTCAAGACCTCTCTGCCTCCACATGGGTATAATGCTTTGCCTTACAGCAATGCTCCTTTGTTCTAGTCACAGCCAGAGGATACCACAGCAAATTAGTAATTGGAAATTGGAAAATCCCCAACCCCTCCCCTGCATTGATGTCCAGTTCCATAGCTGGTTCTGCCTTTGAATACCCTCAGATGTATCACCTACTTGGGACTTGCTGCTTAAGTTTAAGAAAGATTGGAGAACAAAAGTCCTGTGAATGTCATTATTCCCTTTTCATTTTTATGGGAAAGAGACTTTTTAAAGAGAGGACACATTACCTCTTTTTCTTCCATTGGAATGTGAAAGAGCAGGGCTTTGGAAATCATTGGGCAACATTAGATCTAGTTTAAGTACAGTCCTTTTCAATTTTGCTAGCAGGGTAGTTAATCAGCAAGATGATATTCAGACTGAAATTAATTCCCCTGTCAATGACAGAAGCTGCAGCTCTCAGCTATTCTATCTGCTCTTGCCTCCAGCAGCTCTCAGTCACTAGATTGGGAACAAAAAATGTAACTGGGGAGGGATTACACGAGTATAATAAACATGGCCAAGACCCCAAGGTCCCTGTTAAATAGTAACAATCTCAAGTGACAGATTCCACTTCAAGGCCATATGGATTCCTTTGATGTTTATCTGTTTAAACACACTCGTACAGTACCACAGCCTAGGCTGGTGTGCTGCTTTTTCTCTCCACAACCCCTCTGCAAAATCTACGTGGTGATACCATCTGTTCCTGTTCTGCCCTGTCTTCTTTTCCGTGGGGCTGTCTGAAATCCCCTAATGGCATTATGTTTAAATTTCAGTGTATTTGAGTATTTTGCCAGGGAGGAAGTCCCATAGAAAAGGTTTGCAATAAATTTTAAATAGAGAGAAAGGGAGGAGCAGCAAAGCAAGTGCTGGTAACGTTTCCTTGTGGTGCCTTTTTCTGCCCATTGATGGAGCTGTTTGAGAAAGCTGAGTAATTTAGACACTGCTGTAGCACTGGGTAGAGGGATTTCTTTGGTATGTGGGGCAAAGGATGGTGTGGGACTCATACTGGAAGCCTCAAGTCCCAAAATGACCATGGTAATTGCTATTCGTGCTTGTTCTGCCTTAGGAATCATCTTCATTTTCAGTTATTGTCCTTGCTACAGAAAAATTGGGAAGTCTAGCTGGGAAGCACTTCTTCAAGTTGGAAGTTAAAGGAGAAAAAAAAGACATGTTTTAGAACCTTCGTTTATCACTAAATCCACCTAGTACACACATGTCGTGAAGAGATAATACAGCACAACTGGCTTCCTTTATGTTAAAGTATACAAGTCAATAGAGTAAGAGGAAAATGGACATGTGTAGGACCAAACATAAATTCTAGAGGGAAGTCTGTTTCCATAAAAAGTTTTTATAACAGCATGCCTGTATACCTTCCCCTGCCTTCTGGAGTTAGGTCCCTTGGTATCCAAAAGGATTTTAGCATCAGTGGTTCTAGCAAGGCTACAGGAACACACAGCAGCAGCAGAGGGAAGCACTGAACACAACCACTACATTTTCAGAAGAAAGGATGCACTTTAGACCTGTAAGCTTGTAACAGCTTATCATTCTTGCAGTGTGGGAGATCTGCTTATTCATCAGCTAAATCATTTAAAGCTTGATTCTAGTTTATCTTTAAATAGCCTATGACACTGCTATAGCAGCACCATTAAACGTTGCTTTGGAGAAAAATGTCTGTGTGAGAGTATCAATCAGAGGCTCTGTGGATAAGAACATTATTAGTTACGAGTAGAGATCACACCCCTAAGCTGCCTAATGAGGCACAACCCACAAACACTAATGGTTAGTCAAATTGTTTCCTGGTTCCTCCAGTTTTACCGTTCCTCTTTTGGAAAACATTAAAACTTTCAGATATAAGAGTGATGTCCTTGAGTATTAGGCTGTTGGAGTAAATTTCTCTTGGGAGAAGCCTAACCTGACAATGATGTGCTAGAAGAATATCTGTCTTTCCTGGCAGCACTGTGGTTTGTCTGCCAAGCACAGTCATTCTCCAAGGACCCATAGCTTCTGCCAGAAAAAAAGGTATCATAATTTGAAAGGAAGTCTTCGGAAGATAAGCAGTGAGGGTATTTGGAAAAGATCTGAAATTTAGAGCAGACTGGAAAATGTGGTCATGGTATATGTCTTTCTAAAGACCTGTGGGGAGTTTCTAAAGGGCAGACCCAAACATTTTCACACTCAAATCACAGGTGAACTGTAAACACGGGGGGGCGGGGGGGGGGGGAAAACCAACTTTTTTTATTACTATTTCATTACACCTATGAGGATTCTTTCAGCTGTGTTTTTCTGCTGCTTTTTTGTCTTTCTGTTTTCTGTCTCTCTGTTTTCTGTTTATATTCTGAAGGCCCTTGACAAATTCTTTTATGTTACAAGAATCAGTGTGCCCTCCCCACAGAGGAAGAGATGAAGAGCAGGTTACAGCCTTATCATGCTGCTGCTGGGGTCATCTAGCAAAGCGAAAACCTTCTAGATATTTCAGATGTCAAAAGAGAAACAGAAAAATAGAAGTGAGAAAACCAGTGAAACTTGCTTTATACTTCACAAGTAAATGTAAAAAAAAATAAAAATGGAGTGTGTCCATACATGCACGTGTTTGGAAGAAATTTAATTTCTTTATGGTTCATGTCTGGCAGATGAATTTAATTTAGGAGTAGTCATGTCACAAGTGAAGTTCAGAAATCAAGATGATGTCTATAGAGCTCATAGAAATAACAAATTGTATATAGGTTGTGGAGTTTTTTTCCTCATAGAGGATGATGGAAGAGGGAGCCATCAGAAGATTTACCTTTCTTCTGTGTGTTATCATTGGTGCTATTTCTGAACTAGTTTTAGCTTGCCCCCTGGATCATAATGAGTTACAGCCAAAGCTACATGTGATAGTTGTAGCCTCTGAGTCACTCATGTCAGCCCATGCTCTGACTCTGGGGGTGGTAGGGACAATGAAGTAGGACTGGCAAGGTGTACTATCAATTTGAAGAGTAGAGTAGTGATGCAGTAGGCCAGACTGAGTGCAGTGTAGACCCAAGTACAAAAGGGAGAGAGAGTGAAATAAATGAAACAAAAAGTTATATAGCATTAGTAAAAAGCAAGATTAGTACAAGGGGAGATATTATGCATGGAGTAAATGCATTAAAGCAGGATTAGCAGCAGTAATGCAATTCAAGTTTAAATGTAGGTTTTTAAATGAGGAGC